GAACCAGGGTTACAATTTAGAGTACTCATATGTTCTGTTTATCCTTCAGTGTTTCTTTTAAAAAATGTGAATTACTGGTCAACATTTTTAAAATATGGAGATTTTTACATTAAATCCAATTCCTGGTTTTTCTTGAGAAAACTGGAAGGTCCGAGTTCACCTGACTTCCTTCCCTTCCTATACACTACTCCACCAATGAGAACAATCCAAGTCACTTTTGCTCCCTTTAGATGGGGCATAGATTTCCCAGTTGAACACAGCCTCCCACGTACCTTAGTCTCAGACTATTTTACTCATGTAAGTTACCTGCCTGGCCCTGTAAACATCAAAGTCAACCGCTCCTGGCCAAGAAGAGTCTTTCCAGCCCTAAATTTACTGTGAGTCTAGTGTTACATACAGGTGAAAAGCTTTCCTTAAGTGCAGCCAAAAAGAGATAGTATATAATTAAAAGCCAACTAACACTCTGGAACTTCCCTATGAACAGGAGAAATTGTTTCTGTGACATCTTGTCTATACATCAGTAAGGAATGATGGTAATGACCTGATTAGCCCACCCTTCATCCTCCTCCTCCAGGTAGGCCAGATACCAGAGAAATCTAGAATTTGAAGAAATAAGGAAAATATATGCTGATGGCATCTGAATAGGCTCCTTACTTTCTGACCAAACCCATGCCTTGTCACATAGGCCTCACCTACCACCAAAAGTAGCACTCTGCCATGTGTTCTGTACACAGCCTGACCTCAAGTGGGTAACAAGCTGTCCCCAGGCCATTGCCCAAAGTCAGAACAAAGGCCTATTTTTACATAGTGATAAAAGAAATGGACCTGAATGATTTGGAGTTAGGGCTCAACATGTAAAAGGAGACCCACCACAGGGGTGGTATTTTCTACTTAGAGACACAATCATACCCCAGTAGTCTGCTCTCAGCTCCCAGATGGGAAACCAACCCAGGAAAGCAACTGAAGGTGTTAACAGCTAGATATGGCAACTGATTTCAGCAAGCTGTAATTCACTTAACCTGATCAACTGTTGGGAATGTAAATCAACTCCTGCATTGCTCCTGTAAGCTATGTCCTCAGTACAGACAGGAAAGACTCTGAGAACACACATATATACATGTATCTACATACAGAATGAAATTCTGAACAACAGGAAAGGCAGATATTTGACTGGATAGAACACACATATACTCAGCAATTTCTTGTACAGCAGCCAAAATCATATCATACTTCCTATTTACAGGTATCCAGCATACGTCAGGTTACAAAGGATTTTGACAAAACTAAATTGCCTGCATGTTACAAGGAGGAAAAAATTCAGAGATGCACAGGAAGCTGTTCAAGCTGCATATTCAGCAGAACTAAGGCAAGAACTAGTTTCTCAGATTCCACATTGGGTTTAAACCTAATGAACAACAGGCAGAGCTAGCATGGACAGAACAGCACTAAGCACTCTGGATTATCCATCCTAGGGCTGGGATGTTCATACAGCAATGAAACTTCCAGGTAGGAAATGGAGATGTTCCACTATGTCAGTGACCAATTTAGCCCAATGATCCACAAAGCTGTCTGGTTGGTATAGCGTTAGGAGGAAAGTCTTTCTGTGCCATTACACTTTCATGTTATATGCCAAATAAGCTAAGGATAATGTTCTTAAGGAGCTACTGAATCTCAGCTCAGGATGAGTCTAGATAAACCAGGGAACTATCCTACAACATAGAGGCACAGCATCCCAGGAAATTGCCCATATACCTACCAATAACATCAGTGCTAATGAAGATTCAATAGTTCAGTGTGACTCATCTCTATGTCCTACCTAGACATGTCAGAATAGACTCTAGAGCTTGAATAGATTCTAGAGAATGCATCAAAGATGAAGGAGAAAGTAAAAGCCCATGATCATATGCCAAATGTTTAGGAGAGCCAAGATTAGAACCCAGGTCTCCCATTTCCTAATACAATTGGCACTGCTTCCACAATACCATTCTACCCTCAACCAAAATCAATGTAGAAGAATGAAGACAGCGATTCTATTTTGAAATATCTACTACAAAAGAGCCTCTATAACTTCCAACCCTTGAGCAACACACAATCTTACCAGGAATGTAAACCTACACACAAATACTCATTCATGAGAACTGAAAAGTTTGCCTTGGAGCCAATATTCACATCATATATGCAACAGTCTAACTCATTTCTTTTTACTGGCGACAGCACAACAGCTGGCCCCTAAGGTTCCACGGTATTCCCCTTTAGAGATCTGAAGACCCTTCGACTTTACTTAAACAAACAAGCAAAAAAGGTTTACAATGATCAAATAAATGCTCATTCTGAATACAATCTGAGGCAACATGAAATACTACCTTAGTTTCTCAAAGAAAAAACACTGGTATAGTAGACAGAATATTGGAGCTCTAAGTTATGACTTAGGCTCTGTCATTAATGCTCTTGGTCTGTCATGTTCCTCAGTCTAGATTTGTGCTGATACAGTAACAACTAGCCACATATGGCTAATGAACCCTTGAAATGTGACTAGTGTGAATTGAGATGTGCATAGAACACTTACTAGATTTCAGAGACTTAGTAAAATATATTATTAATAATTTTACAGTGATAACATATGATATTATATAATATTTTAGATATATTGCATTAAGAAAAATACATTGAATTAATTTCACCTATATCTTTTTAACATTTTTTAGTGTGGCTACTAGGTAATTTTAAATTACATTTGTGGTTTGCATTTGTGGCTCACATTATACTCTATTGGACTGTGCTGGTCTAGGCCAAATCATTCTCAACATCAAAGATTCTGATTTAACTAGCCTAGAGCCTGTGTTTTAATATGAGTTTTTTAAGCTACCCAAGTGAATTATTTCATTATGCAGCCAGGATTGAGAACCACTAGACTAGATTCTATATTATGCATGCCTGGGCCAGCCAGTGATCTTCACAAAGGTCAGCTTCAGCCCACTCAAATGGCTGCTGGGGCTGTGTGCTTGGAGGAACACTCATCCTGGCCTTGGATATAGGAGCATCAATGCCAGTTCATTGATATTCTAAAGCCTGGCTCTGCCATTTGCCTCCTGGAGTCATTCTGCCTTCCTCAATCATTTTGTCCCATCCCTTGAATTACTGTTTATTATACAAACGACATTTCACTGAAAGGAAATACATGTGGATTTGGGTGATGTTGTTGCTGGGTGCAATTTAAACTTTCTTTTAAAGAGGGAGTGCTGTCAGCACAAGACACACAAGCTGTCTGTGTAAAGGGCCTCATGTTAGTACCAAATACCCATGGTTATTGATGTGCTCTTTCAAACTACCCCTGGGACCAATTCATCAACCAGTAAAGCTGAGTTAGGACACATGGCACTTGGAGACTCTGATGGAAGACACTATACAAAAGTAGAGGAAACAGGATTGGATATTTATTTCATTAAGAGATTATCAAGATAGAGGGGATGAGAGGCCACTTTGTGCACTTCCTTGCTTCTGAGCAGTGCTCTCACTTAAATTGTTCCAACTGGATAACAGTGCTTCCTACGTTTGCAGCCTTCTAAGGAGGGAGGCCTCTTTCAACCACTATGGCCAGCTTTGACACACAGACCTTCTTGGAGTTAATAAGGTGGTGGTAGTGATGAGAAGGAGGATAATGATGATGATAAAGCAAGTTACCATTTCCCAACTACCCACTATGTGCCAAGCACTGTGCTAGACACTTACATAGTGATCTCATTTAATCTTCATAAAAAGTCTGCTATCCCTATATTTTTCAGATGGGGACGTGAGGCTCAGGAAAGATAAAAGTATTACCAAAAGCTATAGAGCTAGGAGATAGTAAAGCTGAGACTGCATCTCAGGTTGTCTGATTCCAGATGCCCTGCTACTTTCCTCATGTCACACTGCCATCATTCTTATCCTGAGGGTCTTCATTCTCCAAGGGCCCAAGCCACTTCGATCTTTTGTTTAGAGGTCAAGACTTAAGCCTTATTTTACAAAAGAAACTTTAAAAAGATGATAGGCTGGGGTAAGGATGGTCTTGAGACACCCTGATGTGGCTTTGGTACCCGTACTGCCACAAATCTCTTTCATTCCCTGGCATGAAATAACTGCCAACACTATTTGCAGATGGGGAAACTGAGAGCTCACAACTGCCGAATAACTGATTCTAGCTCATAACTCTAAGGAAGGCCAAGAGCTGGGACACCAGGCCAGTGTTCTTCCCCATTAGTATCTTTGCTAATTGGTGACTCAGAGGAAGCAGAAACTGCCCAAAAGCCCCTTCCCAAAAGCCCTTTCTTTTAAAAGACAGGTTCTTTATGGCACAGTGTCAAAGGGGCCAAAGCCTTGCAAACCCTGTCAGGCTGTCTGCTTCCCACCTCAGCACATCTTAGATCTCAGCAACCTGACTCTCTTGCAATAAGTAAGATTTGCAATCAGTATACTCTAGTCCCTGAGGGGTTAGGGAGCCCAGGCTCTTACATTAACAGCTGTAGACCATCCTGAGATAACATGCAGAGCTGTTCACACTTCTCTAATTGAGAGAAAGGAGGCAAAGGAAGCAGAGAAGAATGGGGAGGGGATAGGAAGGGTGGGAAGAGATTTATTTTTAAAAAGGATAAAAAAAGAAAAGTCAAGGAAAAGAAATAAAGCAGAAAAGAGAGATGGGAAAGGTAAAAATTCACAGTAATAGAGAGTTAAAAGAGCCATAAAAAACCATCAAGGCCAAAAAGAGAAGTGATTTGTACAGTCACAGCAGGTAGAAGGTGGGAGGTAGGGATTGTTAAAATAAACAAGAGAAAAAGAAAAAGTCTCAAAATTAGAAGGGTGAAGATTAAAGGAAGCCTAGGTCCTGGGTAGGAGACCAAAAACATGAGAAAAAAATGTGAGAAGCCAACAGGAGGGGAATGAGAAGGAGAAAAGGGGCTGGTGAGAGAGAAGCCAGGGACAAGCAGCCAAGGAGACAGGAGAGGAGAGTGAAGGCTGACACTCACCCTCACAAAGCTGGCAGGAAACCATCCCTCCTCATCGTCGATCTGGCCCCACCACCAATCCTTGTTGGAAGCATCCAAGACTTTGATGACGTCGCCAGCCTTAAATGCCAACTCCCGGTTGGCCATGGTGACGTGATCCCATACTGCCTCAGCACTAACGATGGAATCTCCAGTGATCAGCTTAGGAGACAAAATAAGAATGTGTTCAGTCCACACATCTAGCTACCTTACTAGTCCCCACCCAAAACTCTCCTACTTATGGAAAAACTAACATACTAGTGGTGAAAGGTGGGGATGAGGGAGATGACACTAGGAAAGCAAACTCCACTGGACAAAACAAATAATACTATCAACTCTCCATTAGCCAGTAGGTAGAATGACCCAGAATGTGTATATGGACCATTTAGGCCTCATGCTTTTATCCCTACTCATAAGCTCTTCCCTTAGAGAAGAAAAAATGCCCCAGTCCATCTCTCCTTGGTGCTTCAAGGCAGCCCTGGATCTGGAAAGGGTGGAGAGGCTGAAAGCAATGGGTAAAATGAGGCTCAAGTGAATTTGCTCTAAATTCTCTGTGCTCCTCCCTCTTTCCTCCTCCTCCTTGAAACTGACCAATTGAGAGCTGGTGATGCATTATTTAACCCCACTTTACCCCACCCCCAAGGGTTACAGACCATGGCATTCCACATACATAATGGACCCCAGTCCTGTAGCCTCCTGTTCTCACCCACACATGATGCCATCTACAGAGGTCATGAGTTCATGGGTATGAAAGAATATGGCTTTCTGTGACGCCTTGCTCCCAAGAAACTCAACCTTGGCACAGATTCACTCAGTGATTTATACAACCACCCTGTGAGATACATAAGGGATCTAGGTTAACTTCTACATTTGATAGATGGCAAAACTGAGCCATAAGGAAATTGAGGGTTAAGCTCAGGATCACCCAGAAAGTCAGGGGCTATGCATACACCCTAACTTTGGACATTAGACTTCATGGCCAGCAGGACTGGGCTCCACACAGCAGCAAGCAGACATCTATGCCACTGTCACATAAACACACACACACATATGTTCATGACACGCTCTAAGCACAGTGATGAGGACGGGTGTGGGGGAATAGTTTATCTCTCTCTGGCTACCATCCTGACCACTGTGTTATTTGTTCTCTTTTCTCCCAAACTGGTTCTAGCCTGAATGGGTCATCAATCTTCCTGGCATTTGGAGGAACAGATTCCAGAATAGAAAACATATGGCCTGTCAGGCAAAGGACTCATTCTTTCCCCAGCACTGAATTGTTGAACATGTCCTCTAGAAGTCAGCTTTTCCATCAGCCTACTTTGGGAAAGGACCAATTCCACAAGGCAATCATGGCTCCACAAGACCAGAGTCAAAACAATTCAAAGACAACAGAGGCAGAATATAGAACATGCATCCTCTCACACAGGTCCACTTTCCAATATACCAGCCAGAGAATAACCCTATGGTCATGATATTAATGCATAACACATCACACACATATGAAAAAACATACACACTGATCTTTTGACTTAGTTAAGGCATTCTGTTGGTTGGCTGCTGCCTGAGGCATACTTCATTGCTCAGGATTCTAGCTATTGTGCTTTCCACAGAAGGCATAAAGGGTGCTCCTCAGCAAAAGAGATTTCAAAAAGGACCTTTTATAATACCACTTTCAAGTAACTCATGTTTTACTGTTTATGAAGTGTTTTCACATCTATTGCATCACTTGATCCTTACTGAATGAGCTGAGTCTCACTATTACCCATATTTTAAAGATGAAGAAACTGAGGCTCACAGAGGTGACCTGGTCCTTTGGCCAATCACACAAATAAAAAATTAGGAAGCCGAGTCCTCTGACTGCATATGCACTAATAGCTATCATACCATGCTACCAATGTCTATTAATTAGTTATAATGGACTCACAGAACTCCATCTATAATATCATAAGCAAACCAGATGGCTCCTCTTCAAGAACCCCAAAGAACGGCATTTGGACAGCAATATTCAGTCACTGGTACCCTTGCCTAAGGGGAGATTTATTTCTATGTTGAACTTGTTTTCTTCCAATTGCACTAAAAGTCAATTTCTTCTTGCTGTGGCCTCAGTGGAGAAGAATTGCTGCTCACTGACATCAATAAAATAAGTATTTACAGAGACATCTCCCCTCTTCCTGCCAAGATGGGTACCAATTGGTTGTTGTTAGAGTTCAATAAGCACAGACACCCCCAACTCAAGAGCACGACAAGGGCATACAGTTTAAAGCTGTATCATTAGAATTTTATCAAGGGTCAAAAGAGTATCTTGGTAACAATTACCAACCCTCTGCTCAGGGCTCTGTGATTCTATTTGAATTCCCCAAGGCCAGGTTTGGCTGATTCCACTGCCTGTACTCTTTCCACAGCACAGTCTTCATTTCAGAGACTTTTTAAGGGCTCCATGCTTGGCTTCTCCCAGTAGCAGTTGGCTCACTCTAGTCCCCATTTAGTCCAGTTGACCTGCCTGGGCCCTCATGCCACAGAGCCCCACTATACCCTGGACAAGGCCAATCCAGCACCCAGTGGTGACAAACCAATTGACAAGCCTGTTGTCAGGACCTACTTGGAGCCAATGACAGAACTTGACAGCACCTCAAAGATCATCACCCTTAATCCCTCATTTTATAGATCAGGTATAATATAGCAGGAGTGACTTGCCTATGGTCACCAGATGGCCTCCTGGACCATTTTTTTCCCCAACATAACACCATAGATAGAGAAGGTAGAAAAAGAATGCCTGGATTTAAGATCTTACTGTACTACTTGCTAAAGATGTAATGATAATGATGATAATATTAGCTAATACAGAGTATTTACTATATGTCAGGCACTATTTTAAGCACTTTATACACATCAACTCATTTAAGCCTCACAGCAGCCCTTTGAAGAAATACTATTATTCCCATCTTACAGATGAGGAAACTGAAGATCAGGAGAGATTAAATAATTTGCCCAAATTCACAGAGCCAATAAGTATTGAAGCCATAATTCAAATGCAGGCCCAGTCTGGCTCTTATAGTCTCTGCTCTTATAAACTATACTTCCTCTAAGTCTCAGTTTCTTCATCTGTTAATTGAGAGTAATTGTACACTCCCACCTGATTCATAAACTGTAAGACACTGAACGAAAAGTTGGCAGATGTGTGTGCAGATAATGTGAAGAGGGCTAATCCACAAGGGACTGGTAGCTGGGCTCCTATGTTCTCTCATCGCAAACACAAGCAGGAATAAGGGGCTGTTCCCCTGTCCTCTGAGCTGTTTTAAAAGCAAACTAAATTTGGGCTAGAAATTGATTCCAATCTCCCCTTTGTGTACAGAATTTACTTTTAACTTGCTACAATTTTTCATAAACATGACTTTTCTCTGCTCATCCACTTTCCGTTCAACAGTCATTCAGTGAGTTCTCACTGTGTACTGGGATCTGCTTACTGTGATTCAGCCACAGTCCTTACCTGAAGATCAAAGGCCCTTTGGCTACCAACAGTGAATGCCCTTCAAGCAGTATGCAAAGGTGGTTAAGGGCAGGCAAACCTAGCTTCAATTCTGGACTTTAGAAAGTAGCAGTGACAATGGGAGGTAAGGAATAGAAGAGAAATCAGATAAATAAACCAAAATAGAACTAACAGCATGTAAATGGGATATCAAGGAGTACAATATTACAAAAGCTAAGGACAAGACTTTCAAGCTATACAACTTTAGGCTTAAGTTTTTTCATATGCAAAATGGGGATAATAATACCTGTCTCACAGGCAGAGTTGGAGAGGGTGAACTGAGTGCTGGATATATAGTGCCTAGTACAATGTCTGGTATACATTGACCCAGTATAAGATTTCAGAGGAAGAAAGGATCATGTGTGACTATTTGGCTCTAGAATGGATGGGGGGGCACTAGAGATATGTCTTCAAGAACAGGTATGATTGTAACAGATAGAGAAGGGAGCAGGAAAGGCATCTGAGGAAGAGGAATGAGATTATAAATAAAGGCTCTTGTGAGGTGAAGGCTTTGGGAAATTTGATGAGTTTGGAAAGTGCTGGGGAACAGCTGGAGGGAAGGACAGCTGGAAAGGTAGACTGGAGTCCTGTTTAAAGGTTCTTAAATCTTCATTTGAGGAAAAAGAGGAGGTCAAAGTTGATTCAGTGGAGGGAGTTTAATCCTAAGTGTGATCATTAAAGCATGAGGGTAAGTTACGAAGAAATGCTGGTTTTTGGATGGGGAGAAGAGATGAAAATTTTTCTCTTTAATGTGTTGACTGTGTGGGGCCACCGGGACATAAAGGTAGACTGGAAGTTCAACAGAGATCAGGGGAAATAGTTATATAGTTTTGGGATTCAGTGGCCCAGAAAAAAATTGTGGAAATCAAGAAAATTTGCCCTAGAAGAAAGTGCTAAAAATAGAAGGTCAGAAACCTAGGAAAACAACAATAATGGGAGGTGAGGAAAGGAAGAGGAGACAGAGAAACAAACCAAAATGGAGCTGTCAGCACATATTTAGGATACTAAGGGGTGCAATCTTGCAAAAGCCAAGGACAAGAGTCTCAAGCAATGGGAGCTGATGAAATTATCAAATAGTACAGAGTTAGCTATAAGAGGAAGAAAGCCAAGAAAAGGCCATTTGGGAGTGGCTACATCAAGGGTTAAAGTCTTTATTTCTTAAACTGGTTTATACCTCTCTCCTCACCAAAAGCCTTTATTTCCCAACTGTCCCTATTTCTTCATCCTGCAAGCCCAACATAAAGCCCGGAGATGGTACTGGGTTACTCCAGCAAGGTACTCAAATAGCTCTTGGCCTTGGGACAGTGCTGATGTGACTTCTAATAAAATAATTCCCAATCTCTAGGACATTTCAGGTGTAGCACCAAATATAGGTTGGTTCTTGCTCAGACCTGCCAGTGAATGAGACACAGTGTAGTGCATCCCAAAACCAAAGAGACTTTTAGACATGAATAAGAAGATGGAGGGGGAAAAATCATAATTTTTAAAGAAGGAATGAGATCCAATTTCTTTTAATCTAGATTTCCCAGCAATCCTAATTTCAAATAGTCCATCCCATTGATCCTACAAATAGATACATCTGTTATCAGACCCATGTGGCTTGAATTTTAACCTGGAAATATAATCACCATACCCC